TATTCTATAGCCACAGAGTTCCATTTTCAAATGTTATAATTGCTTTTTAAATATTGTTTACGTAAGTGGCCAGTTCCGGAAACTTATAGTGCGTAGTACACATACTATCAATATATACAGTAAGCTTCGACATTTTCGAGCGTTTGAAATGGTCAAAACTTACATCAATGATTTAATGTTCAATTAAAAATGCACTTTAATGCCTTTAATACAAGGTTGAGTTTTATCATATCGATGCCTCCAATGAACACTACGCCAACTTTATTATTATTGGTATTTTTCTGTTATTTTTGTAAACAGCCTTATTTATTTACCAATATTATGCTCCCCGAATTTTGTGAAAAAAGAAAATAAGGAAACATAAAACAAAATTAGAAAAAATAACAGAAAGAATTGAAGAAAAGAAGAGAAGATTTTTTTTTTTTCACAAAATGTGAAAAAATAAATAAAGAAACAAAAAACTAAATAAAAACAGAACATGTCGAAAAATTACGATGGCATTGAAGGTATCGATATGTGAATTTTATTTTCGAAGACTTTGAACAACACAAATTGTTTTGATGCTGACTGCACTACTAACGAACAAAGAAGAACAGCCCGTTTTAGTAAATTACTGTAACGTGTCACATTGTTCACGTATTTTCTCTTCGGGAAAGTCGTTATTTGTTTCCAATAATTGTATTGTTTTTAGAGTTTGTTTATGTAGAGCTTTTGACAAGTTTTGGAAGCGGCTATATGAGTTGAGTATTAACATATTGAACTTACGGAACTACGGAAGGACAGAAATCTGCTAGTGTTTAGTAGCAGTTGAGTTCGTCCAAGACAATAAAGCCAGCTTACCTATTTCTGCCGCTAAGCAGTAATGTAAGCGCTACTATGTTTAGATTTTGAAGGGTAAAAGGTTACTGGTCAAAATACAGGAACATAGAATTTTTCAACTTGTGTTTCAGGGTGTCACGCGGAGTGGCAGAGCCTGTGATCTTTGTGACTTAAAGCTCTGTATGGCACTGCAACTGTATGGACAGGCGTGTCGCTGACCAACAGGTGCACTTCTTGTTTGTCCCGTCACTTGGTATTATACAAAAAGACCCGTTTAGCTCTTACAAGTAGTCTCGATCTATGACGTTTGAAATAAATATTGTAAATTAAAGTGTAAAATATTTATTTACAAAGAGCAACCCCGAGAGTTTCTTGCTCGTTCTTCTCAGGAGAATCTTTTTTTTTACATAATATGAAGTGACGGGACGAACAAGTCGTGCGCCTGATGGAAAGCTACACGCCTGTCCATAACAGTTGCAGTACCACTTAGAGGTTCAAAACGCAAAAACGTGAAGGGTCCTGCCACTGCGTCTGTCACCCTGAGACATAGGTTGATAAGTCTCATGTGCTTGTAATTTCATTAACACTCTTACCCTTCAAAACCGGAACGCAGTATGCTGACATTGCTGCTAGGCGGCAGAAATAGGTAAAGTGGCAGTATTTTCCTAGACGAACTCTTTCACAAGCAGCTCTACTGCTACTAAAAATATATTATCGTTATTAACCGACTTCAAAAAGTTTTTTTAAAAGAAACTACTTCAAACTTTGCTTCTGTAGACATACAAACTGAAACTAGAAAGTTAACTATCGGTTACTGGTAAGTACCCGTAACTGGATTCATCCCCTAATTTGCGACCTTTAGAGGTGGAATATTTTTTTCAAATTTAAATGGAAACTATAATGAGGTACCGTCTTTCCAACAAAAAAGAAACATTCACAAAAAAAGTCGAATTGAGAACCTCCTCCGTTTTTTAAAGTCCGTTAAAAATACGCCATCACACTTTTTCATGTAAGATAGCCTTACATTGTCCCTTAATCTCAATTCGTGTCAATAAAAATGTAAGAGATGATCGCACTTTTGTATCTTGTATGTAAAATTATACCTGTGCTTTTTAATTCCATTCAAACTATTGAATAAAAAGTGTAGGCCACCAGTGAGATTTATGCATACATGAAATTAACGAGGAGATTAGCTCCACCCATTCAAATCATACAATAAACTATATTTACATACAAACAACTTTCGCCCATACATTTTTGTGGACGACATTTTTCAATTTGTCTTTTTCTTCAATGGTACAAGAACAATTTTAACTTCTGTTTTTAACCGGCTTCAACGAGGAGAAGGTCCTCAATTCGACTGTATTTAATTTTTATTGAAAATTAAATGTGACTAATACTGAGGTACCCTCTTTCTAACAAAACAAGAATCATCTAAATCGGTTCACAATTTGTAATCGCGTAACATACATGTAAAAAAATACAACCGAATTGAGAACCTCCTCCTTTTAAACTTGGTTAAAAAGGCGACTTATTGTTTATTTAACATACATACATAATTATATAAGACCACGATTATCTCCCATTGGAGTAGGCAAATATTATGGATCTCCATCCGCTTTTTTTATGATAAAAAGCAAAGGGACGAATGCGCCTGGTGCTACGCGAAACGCCTGTCCACGACAGTTGCCAGTCAGAACTTTAATTCACGAAGATCACAAAGATGAAGAATACTACCATTACACCCGTCATCCTGAGACATAAGCCGACAAGTCTCGTGTACCTGTAATTTCTCCAGCACCCCTTACTATTCAAAACCGTAACGCAATAATGCTTACTTACTTGGCAGCAGAAATAGGTACGGCAGTACTTCCCTTGACGAACTTATTCACAAGGTGCTACATTTTCTACTGCTAATATTTTGAAGGGCAGAAAACGTGCTCAAATAACCGCCCTTAAAGTCCTATCATAAAGTAAGATGTATCTATTTTTCATATATTTATATTAGTTGTGTTAAACATAATATGTGACCAGTGGTTCATAATGAACATTGTTATAAAAATCCAACCTTTTTTTAAATTATTTTAAGTATGTACATTAAAGTATTTTATATTTACTAAAAGAATTGAACATCCTTGCGTCTCACACTACGTTTATATATTCGTCCAACTAAAAAAAAAAGAGAGTAAGCCATATACCACTGGAAATGAATCTAAGAACGGAATCAAATTCTACTTTGGCGTTGCGTTCTCTCAATTGACGACCGATGATGACCTCGGTGGCCGAACGGTTTCCACTATGGGCGCTGGATGCGAAGACCCCGGTGGGACCGATTTGGGAAATGAACTTTTCTAAATTAATTCTGGTTTGGGTGTTTCGGGTAGTACCCCGGAGATGATCCTGTTGCTCTGGTACTCGCAGTACAGAAAATTCCCTTGAGGTCAGGCAATTGGTGTTATCTGTCACATTCCTTTTAACGAAACACTATTCAATGACTGCCGGCTAGGCTACACCGAAACATATATACATCGTGTTAAAATGTTATACAAAATTATTTGGCCAACTCTATTATGCAGTGTACAATTTAAAATAAACAAATAAATAAAATGTTTCTTTATTTAGGTACACACTCATTAATAAATTTAACATTACTTATTATATCACATTATATAACAATTAAAATGAATTTTAGTAACGGAAAATATTATTATTAATGAAGTAAATAATTAAGAATTAAATTAAATTGAATTAATATTACAAATATCAGTTATTTTTATGTTAGTTAATTTATTTATACTTTAAAAATGGAGTTTTTCGTTTGTTTGAAAAGTACTTTAGATATATTTTAGTTTTTACAGCTTTACTAAATCAGAGCATTTATTAAATAAATAATGGAAGGCTTAATACTTAACAGACTTCAGTCTGTTCTATTATTTATTACCTTGTAAGTTCATAAGTTTGGTTTCCATTGTTTCAGAGATATAACAGGAGAAGACAAAATTAATGTAAAATTTGAACCTGGAGAATTAAAGGACGCTGCGAGAACTTTCGAAGAAGGTAATGTTTTTTTTAATTTTCATCATTAATGAACTACCGCGGTAGCCTAATAGTTTGACCTACCGCCTTTTAAGCAAAGGCTTTCAAGCAGTTTTAAGGAATTTATGTGCGAAATTTAATTTGAAATTTACCATGAGCTTATCGGTGAAGGAAAACGTCGTGATGAAACCTGCACGTCGTAGAAGGTTAACAACCAGCCGGCGGGACTAGCGGACTATGGCCTAAACTCTCGCCTTAGAGAGTGACGAGGAGGAGATTATAAAGAAAAGATTAGATTAGAAAGTATTATAAAGAGGGTTATAAAGAAAAGAAAGAAAAGAAATTGATCCAGCACAATACAGTATGTGTACGAGTATAATATTATGACTTTATGACTAAAACTGTATTGCACTGAAAACGGCCTAACTCAGCAAACTCTGCGGCGGAGCCATGGCGCTGGTTTTCAGTGGACCCTTTTCGAAATAGTCGATTCAACAAATTAAACAAATTAAAATAAAACAAAAAAGTAAAAATTTAGACGCGAGTTAAATAGTTAAATAAGTATAATATAACATATTTTTTTTATCTTTATTTATTTAGGAAGTAATGTACAATGTATGTGCCAGTTCCATCGTATCCTAAACTATAGCTTACATGCCTACCTGGGCGGCGCTGCTGGAGAGCCGATTCAACAAATAATAACAATTTTTTTGCCTGTTTCGTGTAGGGATTGGATATACAATTTGTGGCACCTACGGATGTTCGGTTGATCTGTAGGTCTCTCATCAAGACCGCCCTCTGTGGCTCGTACCGGAAACATAACATAATAAAAAACAACAATTGATAACACAGACAAACAAAACAAAATAAAAAAAATTAATAAACAAAATAAAGATTACAATAAAAAAAACATAAACTAAGACAAATCTGACAAAAAGCAAGAAACAAAATATAACGACTACAAATTTTGTACTGTCATATGTGCGGTTGTAGCGTACGCAAAAGGACTTCATTCCGCATAAGGCACAGCCATAATTGACTGTGGCGTTAGTTTTCAATGAGCCCTGAATATAACATGACGCATGGATTACGACGATCAATTTTCATCATCATTACTCATAGCCCAACTTCATTCACTGCAGCGTAAAAGCATCCTATAATTTATGCCATGAACCACGATCTTGCGCTATTTCAATCATATGCGATCACCGAATTTGACAATGTCATCTTAGGAAGACGCTTTCTTAATTTTCACTTAACATTTATCATTTTTCAAATTTGCAATAACAATAATAAAAACGCACACACTCAACATAGCTGCGTACTAGGGAGATCCTGTGTCGCGGGTGCCATGGACACACACATAGACAACCACAAATTACACCCAAACTCACGAGAGAAATAAATGTAGGCCATACAAATATTTCTCCCGGCCCGGGAATCGAACCTGAGACCTCTGCGTGGCAGTCCATGGTATGGTAACTGTTCGCCCACGGAGGCGGTTAATCGCAATTTATAATAATAATAATATAGTTATTTATTCAGACAACACAATTTTTTAAGCTCCAACAGTGTTAGTAACTTACAAATATAACTTAAAGTACGTTAATGGTAATAATAATAAATAGTTTCATAAAAATTAAATTATAAAAAGTGGTAGCCGACTCTCAGATCTCTCACCCGCATCCAGACCCAATAGTATCTTGTGAGACTATTCAATCAGAACCCGAATGAAAGATTTCATAATCGATAGGCCATATCTATCAGGTATGACCTGTAAAATGGTGTTGGTGTTGCCAGCAAGCAATGAGACTGTCTTTTTGCAGATAATGGCATTGAAACCATCAACCCGCGCTTCTACAAACGTGTCAGGCGCACTGCAAAAAAGGGGGCAACCCCATCAACATTCTAAACTCATTATTGTATGTGACTCGTAGGGCACTAAGTGATTTTTAGTACTCGTATAACTGAACCACAGGCTGCTCGTAAAGAACGATTGGCAGTAGGCTTTGAAAAGTGTAATTTTTACTTGCTTACTGCATCTAGCGAACCTGCGTGCCAGCATATTACTTCTGATCGCCAGTTTACACTATTTATGCGGACCTAAAAATTTTAAATAGAATTATAAAATTACTTTCAAATTCTAATTATAGAATCCTATTTCAAATTTTAACCGAGTCGAAATCCGAAGATGAAAAATCTTAGAATTAATCTCAACCAAATTATCTCAACGTACCCAATGCGATTGATAAACAGTAATGTGAATGGAAAGTCAGCGGCGAGGTCGTCGAACTGTTACATGAGTGAACGTAACGGCGGCCGCTCGGTCAAGGTTACGTCCAACGCTCTCGTGTGATCCATATATACAAGTATACTGGTAATGAAATTATTTTTTATGTATTTAAATCGCGTATATTTGTATTTTGAAACAAACCAACGTTACGGGCCCTTTACAGGTCCCAAGGGCTCGACTGATAGATGCTGGTTTGTTTAAAAAAACAAATATACGCTAATTACATCGAAAAATAATTGCATTTCCTATGTCTTGCAATAGCGAAAACCTGAGAACTCGATAAATATACTCGTTGTTAGAAAATAACTTAACATCATCATTATTATTCACCATTCCTCATTAACCCATTTGTACATCTCAGTATGGGTCTCCACTCAGGCAAGGGTTTAGGCCATAGTCCGCCACACTGGGCCAATTCGGGTTAGAGACTACACACATTTTCCGTGAATTGTGAATCTTCTTTTTTTTTATAATATCAAGCGATGGGACGAACAAGTCGTGCGCCTGATGGTAAGCCACAGGCTTGTCCGTAACAGTTACTGTGCCACTCAGAGCTTTAAATCGCAAAAATATGAGGACCAGTGGCAATGGCCCAGTGTCGCCTGTCACCCTAAGACACAGCTTGACAAGTCCCAAGTGCCTATAATTTCGCCAGCACCCTTCAAAACCGGAACGCAGTAATGCTTGCATTACTGCTTGCCGGCAGAAACAGGTAAGGGCAGTACTGCCCTTCCCTGGACAAACTCTTTCACAAAAGTTTCATCACGACGTTTCCCTTTACCGAAAAGCTCATGGTAAATTTCAAATAAAATTTTGCATGTAAAGGCCGAGTAACTCAGAGGTGCGAGCCCGAACTGGAAATGATGTCAAACCATTTATTTTATTTATTTTAATTTAAAAATAATAAAAATCTTCATAGTGAAAATTTCATCACCCTGTCAAGTTTGTACGACTAACCTAATTATTTTTTCTAGCTCGCGGCAAGATCAAGAAATACACTCCTTTACTCGCCGGTATCGGCGTTAAGGTTGTAGCTATAGCTGCTCTGCTTTTTGGCGGATTGACGTTATTGGTGACCAAAGCTCTCGTCGTGGCTAAATTGGCCTTCCTTGCTGTGACTGCGCTGGGTATCCAAAAACTTCTGAGCAGTGGCAGTCTTAATGGAATTGGTGGCAAGGTTAATATATAAGTTATATATATAGTTCTTTGATATCGTAACTATAAACAGAAGTGAATAGTAACATAGCTATTATCGGAGTTATGTGATAATTTCTAGAAATGATCACACAATATGCAAGCCTTTCTATATTTCTTAGGCTCAATTTATTTTATATAATTTACGGCGGGACGGAATGGAAACGAATTTTTGTAATGATATTGTACATAGAGCATTGAACTTTATAGTCAAATGTGTAACATACAAACTAGATACGAGCCAAAAAACTAATACTAGCGTATGCTCGAGAATGCTCGCGCATTCCGACAACCGCGCGCGCCTTCTTACGCAGCGAGCGATATTGACGCTTCCATTCCGTTCCGCCCCAATGTAAATTGAGCCTAAAGCGCTACAACGGCTCTCTTAAATATTGGCTACCACAAGTATTACTAAAATGTTCAGCGTTCATCAGTCAAGATAACGTTTGTTTTTCTTAGTATTTTATAGTTAAGCAATCTTTTCTTTCGAAGTCGATGTAATCTAAAGATTCAAATAACATTACACACTTTGTTTATTTTTTGTTCTTTGCCATTTAAATACAAAAAAAATGGTAAAACCTCTTTAGTAATCAGTTATTGACAAAGAAAATGTAATATTCCTGTTATATTATAGACTGAAGTGAATATTGACACTTGTATTATTGAAGTTAATGTGATCCTTGTTACAAAGTCACACAATGCGTGTGACGTGTTTCTTAAATTTTGGTACCACGAGAATCATAGAATCGATCAATTTTTAGTATCCTTCGGCCAAGATAATGTAAGTTTTTATTAGTTTTTTACAGCTTAAGCAATCTTTTCGTTCGCAGACAATGTAATTAAAAGATTCAAAAAGTGTATATATACTTTTCTTAATGTTAAGCCGACTTGAAAAAAGGAGGAGGTTCTCAATTCGACTGTACATTTTGGTGAATGTTCCACTATTACTCCGGCATTTGTGATTTGTGATTTTGATGATCTTTTTTTTTTGTTGAAAAGAAGGTACTTCAGTATTGGTACCATTTAAATTTAAAGAAAATATTCCAAGAAAATATTAACCCGTTGGAATAAAACTTGCCAAAAAGATGTTCGAATAAAAAGGCCGATAAGCAAACTTTTGCAGCCGGTCTTTTTTAAATAAAAAAGTTATAATTATTTATTATGCCACTAACAAAAAAAATAAGTACAATATCTTTCGTTATCAGATCGCCAGTTTCCAATCTTCGCCGCAGCAATGGTCGTCACCGACAGCATCAGCAGGGTCCTATCCTTACGCCAGATCATCAAGCATCGCACAGGACGCGAACGACTTGGCCTACAAGACACAGATACCTTCTTAGATTTATGTAGCTCTGGTAGAAATTTATCAATATTTTCAAAAACAGTTTCCTTTTTAATGCCATATTTCTTTGCATTTTTTTAAGAGAATAAGATGTTGTGGAAGATTTTGAATAATGTTTCCCCATATTACATATATAATAGAATTTTCGTTTATAAAAAGGCCAACTCTATTTTGTAAATTATAATAATCAAGATGAAAAAAAAGACAAAATATTTTATGTCACAAGGTAGTGTGTGCACCAAGTTCATCGATTATTTTTAAAGATGTTTTAAAAATACTCAACGACTTTATGTAATGATAAGTTGTAATAGTAACTTGGACACTGAGGCCAATATATAATGTTAAGAACTTTGAAAAATTATTTAATTAAAGTGTAAGAAAGAAATAAACATTCCAGCACTTCCAATGATCTTAATTAGTTTTAGGTGAAATCTACTATTTAAATTCATACAGAAAAGATAATACTATGCATTAAAGTGCATAATATTATTTAGATTTTTTTAAAGATAACCTTGCTTAATTTGATTTTAGAATGCGTAAGAAGCTTTAAATGTTTTATTTTTCTATAAAAGCTGAATTAAATGGTGCATATGGTGTTATGTTTATAAATATCTATAAATTAAATGTTTCTTTTATAAAAAATCTATTATTTATTTTTGGATAAGTTGAAATGTACAAATAGAAGAAATATTTGGCTAACACAGGGTATGCACAACTAGAAGATTGAAAAACAGTTTTGTTTTTATGTACTTTTTACGGGTTTATTACGTGTCATGGTTTTATAAACCAAACTATTATTTAATAATTTTATATCTTATTATTTAATTGACAAATAAGACTGTATCGTAGTTATAAGCTTTGATAAATAAAGTTTGTGAAATGATCATTTTGCACTTTTGTCACTTCAACATCCACACCTTTCATTGCAGTTGTGGATTTTGACACACATCATCAAAACCTAAACAAAATTAAAATTAAAAATATGAAATAAATTGCAAAAAAAAATATTTTTCAGAATTTACACTATATTACTTGCATACTTATAAAGAGACCCGTAAGTATATGAGACCTCTGTTTATTTTGTAAAGAATCTGTATTTCTACTAACAATAGTGTGCTCGATTCCATAAAAAAAACTTCCTACAGAAATGCTGTCGTAAAAGACTAGTAGCGCCATCTGTTGGCGGCTATTGCCTTCTTTTAATATATCGTAAAAATAATGCAAATAAATTAAAAGTAATAGTATACTTTATTGCAATACAAATAATGCTATTATTACAATTATTAACTAATGTGCATATTAAATTCCCTACAACCCCAACGCACAATCAACTTCCCACTTTTTTATTGTATTTCGAATGGGCGAAGGAGTCGAAAAGTTGTTAACATTATTATACTATTCTCTAATATATTATATAGAATACACGTGCGCCTCGATATATCTAAAAGATATATCTGATGAAAATTACAAGTACATTAAAAAAGGTGTCTTAATTACTGAAAAGTAAATATGACTGACACAATTGAAGATGCGAAAAACCGAAATCAAAATACTAACTTATCGAAGCGAACATTAAGCATATCCATTATGCATATATAGAAACCAAAATATTTCGTATTTTTGAAAGTAAAGTAAATATTTTGTTTTACCGTATTTTAAAATTAGTTATACAAAATGGAATTTTCGATTTGATTCTTTTGTCGTTTATTTTTTGGTAATAAATATGTTTTATATCCAATTCTAATTTTGGTTCCGAAAAATCTTTTCAGTCATATTATAAACAGAATTAGAGACTTAACTTGGCGTGTAGTTTTAGAACCAAAATGTGTTACCAGTACTTATACAGTTCAAGTTTTTTTTTTTTTTCAATATGAAAAAACTTTCACCAGCATAATTTCTTGTTGTAATCCTAAAAAACATAAACACAACATGCTCTGTTCAAAGCAAATTAGAAACTAAGACGCACGAACCGACAGAATCACTTATATACTAGTTTTCAATAGAAAATTTGTTAAAAAAAAACCACATGCCATCTTCACTCACACAGCCGGGCAAAGCTGTGGTTACAGACGTGTATGGATACGCCTTTCACTTACCCATACTGGGAAATAAAATATTGAGACAAAGATAGCTGTGGAGTCGACAATCTTGTTTAAAAATGGAAATCATCTGATATAGTGCAATTACACATAACCAGCATTGGACTATGAGTATCCATTTCGGCAATTAAGTGGACAAATCAAATCCACGTAAATATCGTGGCAACTAAATTAACGTGAAAGTCGTGGCTTTTAAAATAATGTTGAATCCCTCTTTAGTAAAATTTGGCTTAGGTCAGATACGCGCTTTTTACCAATGCTACTTACGCAGATTTGCACTATACCCATCGAAATGGTGTTATTGCTTAACGTTACTACTTTTCCTTCTATATATATTGCAAAACAATTACAACGTTTATTAATCCTACTGTCACTTGACATTTTAGTTTGGCCCAACAGTCTTCCAATAACTTTAAATTAATTATCAGATATTTTCTTCCTTTATACAATAAACGCTATATGATGAGATAAGTTTCAACTTGTTCAAATGTTTAATATTGCTATTAAAAGACACTGTGTTACCCTCTAATTTCTATACTTTTCCTTATTATTATTACTTTACAGCCGCCAAAACTCAGATTTTTTTCACTTAGAACTTAGAGGATAGTAAGAATTGTAGAGTATTTTGTACAAAATTCCTATAAAATTCGATTTCCCTACAAAAAACTAATCAACATCAACTCCATGCCATTACTAATCTCCGCTTTGTAATATCCAACTTTCTCTACAACTACAGATACAGTTTTTCTCTGTGTGAGTGCCACTTTCACTAAAGACATTTTTGTCGTTTTGTACATCCGTTTTCACATTATTTCGAATAAATACCTGCTGTCGGAATGTACGGGAATTCGTAAGATTTATCGAATGACTTTTATGATTTTAAGCTATGCATGGAAATGATTTTTATGTACAGAGTTTTTAATTCATTTTCAAATATTATATAAGACTCTGTTTAAATAAAATATAATACCTACAATTGTAAAAAAAACTGTTTTATAATGCCATGGGAGTTTTGTATACAATTAAGACAGAAAAACTTTCTCTTTCTAAAGATTTGCTAAACTTATAATTGTGTTTGCTAAATTGTTTGCGTTCAATTATAAACATAGAAAAACATAAATATCAGTAAAATACGCATACTATGGTAGGAATAACACCGTGAATTTTCCTTAAATATATAAGGTGAACAAATAAAGCAAAGACTAAGTTTTTCCAATAAAAAAGTGTACCGATATTTATTCAAATACCATATGATATTATAATTGTTTTCGGTGCATTTATAATAAGAATTATATAATAAGTATATAATTCAATTTGAGATCTAACTTTCATAAAAAGTTACAGATTCTATTGACCTTTTTCGAATTACAGAAAGTTTGCTCAATTAGGATAATAGGAGAAACATTATTATAAAAATGTGTTAAAATAATAACAAAACATTTATTTGTGTGTATCGGATTTATATGACGGGGTGACTTTTTTGTCAAGATATTATAGTTTGTAATAATTATTAATACAAGGAAAAATTCCTTGGATCTCACAGGAATCGAGCCTGCCTCTGTGCAAAATCAGGGCAACCGCTCTATCAACTGAAAAATATGACAATAAATGAATATCATGGTAACAACACATCATAATATTCATTATAATCAATATTACATTATATTTTGAAATGAAATTCTTCTGTGCACAGGTCTACGTCTACTCTACTACGACTATGTCTAAATAATTATGATGATCCAGACATTCATACTAATTACCTGGTCTGAAATTAGGGAGTTCCGTATCATGGCACCGAAATTAACTCCTACCCTAAACACAAAGACCAGAACCAATTTCAGACAAATTCGTTTTTCCAAATTGTTTGAGATCCAGACAGGGACCTCGTCATTTAACGCCCACTGTGCTAAATGTTAAGTATAATTTATATAAAACTTTGGTTTAATGATTTATTTACATAATATCTTATTTTATTTGTGTACATTCTTACATTATATACGTCAATACAACCATAGCATTATTTGATAGAGTGGTTTGTTACGTGAACAGTTAATGTTAATTTAAGAGTATCTTTGTTTTGTTTTCTTGCAAACTTTAAAACAACGTCATTTCTTTAAAAATTTCTGCCTGCTGAAACCGGGTGTGAAATTTCCTCTAACTTCTGATCTTTTACGTAATAACTAGTATAGTTATACTAAAGTTCGTAACTCAGAGGATTTTTTAATCATCTGCTGTGGTCATACACTCGGTCAATATCGTAACGGGAACGTATCTGTAAAAATACTTACTATATTATACCATCAATATTAATAAGCAATTGGTCGTGTTCTCAAATTACATTAGGAACTAATTTAGTTCTGTACAGTAGTGACGGAAGTAATAAACAATTTTGAGGATAACGAATTATATACATCACTACCAGAGAGATTGATGAAGTTTGAAAAGAATAAGCAAGAAATTCGAAGAGATTTCACATCAAATTATCATCATCGTCGATTTCGAATGTAATGTGTTAACCTACGAAATAAATAAATTTTGAATGCTGGAACATCAAAAAACGATCTGTATCTATACTATAAGTAGATTGAATAACACAAAAGGTCTTCCTAAATCTCCCTTGAACATTATCAAATAAATATCATTTTCGAAAAGCCAATGGTCATTAACTTCTACTCTCTCAACATCGGAATTTGGGTACACACCTTTCTCCCGCTTTCTTGTCGAACAAATATGGCCTCGATGATTTTAAGCTACAACTCCAAAACGATCTATATACCAGAGAAATGCCACATGATTATGACGCTTTATAACAGTAACCATTGAGTTGAAATCTGGGGTACAGTCTCGGAGATGTAAAAGAAGATTATAGTTCGTTGGCAACAAACAGGTGGTCCAGTAGTTTCCATATTTTTTCTTTTTATTTCAGGTGTGGCCAGTATTAGACATATTTATATGTTCTTGGTAAATTACAGAAATAGGACGCCTTTTAAATTATAGTGTGTTAAGAGAGTCCAATACTATTTTTAATAGTGTCCATGTCGCTAAAAAAAATTAATCAAAAAGAAAAGAATTTTCACACCAATTTTTTTGTTTTTCCGTATGGTATACACCCTAGACCAAATTATTATGCAGGAGACTGAGTCTTTCAAATGAGCGATATGTATAAAAATTAAATCCATCATTCCAATAATTGACAATACACTCCAAAATCACAATTCGTTTCTAAATACCCAAAAAAAAATTAAAAATTTTAGACAAATTTCTTGATAAACTAGGCATTTTTAATGTAAATGTATATAATAATATGTATGTGCACTATATGTACACTGTATTATGTATATTTGTTTAAATTGTCTATACATCTTGTTCCTTTCATTATTAAACCAAAATATTTATTGTACGGTTTTAATAAATAACAACTATTTTTTTCGTCAACGACTCAATATCATTTTACATGTATATCTCATAGTATT